AATGTCTGAATGGATCAATTATGTGTAAGCTGCCCAGGTACCTCTTACTTTCTATCCCCACAGGATATAGAAGGGCATTTCTCCACTCACAAGACTGAAATAGGGTGGGTAAGGGTCACTACTGTTTCAGTGAGCTTTGTGGTGATAGTCCTTTAAAGACTGGAGGCAACAATGTGGCTTCCTGCAGGGAAGCTAGGGTCCCTGATATGAATGAGAATAATGGGATCCAAGAATAATGGGATAAAGCCTGTTAGATATGCTTGACTACAGGACACAACAAAGAGCAAATAACCACATAAATCAGGGAAACAGAATGATGATCAACAGATAGATTCATAGATACTCTGGGCAATGGCTAGTTGGTGATGACTTTCTAAAAATGAAACATGAGGACAGAATGCTATGATGCTACTTTATGAATATATAGAATGAAATATATGGATCTGCAGAGCAGAAATGTAATTCCAGTTGTCTTTGTTGGGATTCCTAGGTGCTTACATAATTTCAAACCTAAGCTATGTCACAGATGCAGTCCCTCAACTGAACGACGCCCCTTTGCATTAGGATCTTGTGATATAGTCACAGATGTTCCCTATATCATCCTAAAGCCTTCTTCAGAGGGAGCTGAGACCTTTTATTCGTATGACTATTCAATGATGAAATTAAAATGTTCACACTTTTAGGAGTCATTGAGTTCAGCTCCCTCTGAACTTATACTTATTTTTGAAATACCACTGCTTCACCAATAGGAGTAAGAGATTATTCAGATCTGCTAGATGGGTAATAAATCTGCCTTGTTTTGTTTTATTTTGTTTTGCTTTTCCCCACAGTCCCAGAATGTATAGTGTAGTTAATATATTTAATAATAGAATTTTCATATTGGAATAGAGCTATTACGGAGGAAAGCCCAATTGGAAGATCTTGTAATGTTCCTTCAGACTTATCAAGATTTTAAACTGAAAGCAATTCTGTATCTCTATGGGGCTTGTAGTAATTAGTGTTCCCTTGAAAATCTTGAGAGTTGCAGGGTTGGATTCAAGCATGGCCCCATCTACTTCACCAGATTGGACAGTGCAAGGCCAGAGGGCCATAGAAATAATAGAAGATTATCAGAAACTTTAGCAGATTGTGATACAAATTATACAGCAATTCTAGATGTTGAAACTCTATTAAAACACACAGACATAGCCCTTGGTACCTGGAGAGCAACTGTGACCTGGCAAATTAGTCTCTTTTTTATCTTAATCAATGAATGTCTAGTTGAATTTGTTCATTTTATTTTTTTGGAAAGATATTTTAAAAGGCTCAAATAAATAACTAAATATCAATTCTTCTCAAATTGACCTACAAATTTGATTAAATTCCAATTAAACTTCTACCTGGTCTTTGTTTGCTTGTTGGAATGTAAGGATTTATGCGGAACAGAAGAAACTGTCAAAAGTAACTAAATCTTCTTGAAGCAGATTAAAAATATGAGATGTATTGCACTATCAGTATTGAGGTTTTCAAATGTAAGTAGTAAATATTTATGGTGCTGAAATGTGGACAACTAATTGAACTAAGGAAATAGAATAGAGACAGAGAAATACACATAGTCATGTATGGGAACTTGATCTGCAACAAGAAAGCATTGCTGATCAGGCAGATCAGTGAGTAAAAATGTACTCATTCAACAAGAGTAGCAGGCACAACTGGTTAGTCACATGGAAAAAATGAACTTATGTGCTTCCCTTACACCACACAGCTCACACACACACAATATTCAGATAGATGAAGATTTAAATATAAAGGGCAGGTCTTTTGTCTCCTTAGGCAGGTTTATTCCTAGGTATTTTATTCTATTTGTTACAATGGTAAATGGAAGTGTTTCCTTAATTTCTCTTTCAGATTTTTCATCATTAGTATATAGCAATGCAAGAGGTTTCTGTGCATTAATTTTGTATCCTGCTACTTTACCAAATTCATTGATTAGCTCTAGTAGTTTTCTGGTAGCATCTTTGGGATTCTCTATGTATAGTATCATATGACCTGCAAACAGTGACAGTTTTACTTCTTCTTTTCTGATTTGGAGTGCTTTTATTTCTTCTTTTCTCTGATTGCTGTGGTTAAAACTTCCAAAACTATGTTGACTAATTGTGGTGAGAGTGGGCAACCTTTTCTTGTTCCTGATTTTAGTGGAAATGGTTTCAGTATTTCACCATTGAGAATAATGTTGGCTGTGGGTTTGTCATATATGGCCTTTATTATGTTGAGGTAAATTCCCTCTATGCCTACTTTCTGGAGGGTTTTTATCATAAACGGGTGTTGAATTTTGTCACAGAGCTGGAGGAAGCAGGCTCCCTGACTTCAAAATCTTCTACAAAGTTACAGTAATCAAGACAGTATGGTACTGGCACAAAATCAGAAATATAGATCAATGGAACAGGATAGAAAGCCCAGAGATAAACCCATGCACATATAGTCACCTTATCTTTGATAAAGGAGGCAAGAATATACAATGGAGAAAAGACAGCCTCATCAGTAGTGGCGCTGGTAAAATTGAACAGATACATGTAAAAGAATGAAATTAGAACACTCTCTACCACAATACACAAAAATACACTCCAAATGGATTAAAGACATAAATATAAAGACAGACACTGTAAAACTCTTAGAGGAAAACATAGGCAAAACATTCTATGATATAAATCACAGCAAGATCCTTTTTGACCCACCTCCTAGAGAAATGGAAATAAAAACAAAAATAAACAAACGGACCTAATGAAACTTAGAAGCTTTTGCACAGCAAAGGAAACCATAAACAAGATGAAAAGGTAACCCACAGAATGGGAGAAAATATTTGCAAATGAAGCAACTGACAAAGGATTAATCTCCAAAATTTACAAGCAGCTTATTCAGCTCAATATCAAAAACACAAACAACACAATCCAAAAATGAGCAGAAGACCTAAATAGACGTTTCTCCAAAGAAGATATACAAATAGCCAACAAACACATGAACGAATGCTCAATGTCACTAATCATTAGAGAAATGCAAATCAACACTACAATGAGGTATCACCTCACACCAGTCAGAATGGCCATCATCACAAAATCTACAAACAATAAATGTCAGAGAGGGTGTGGAGAAAAGGGAACCCTCTTGCACTGTTGGTGGGAATGTAAATTGATACAACCACTATGGAGAACAGTATGGAGGTTCCTTAAAAAACAAAAAAATAGAGCTACCATACAACCCAGTAATCTCAGTACTGGGCATATACCCTGAGAAAACCATAATTCAAAAAGAGACATATACCAAAATATTCATTGCAGCAATATTTACAATAGCCAGGACAAGTCATGGAAACAATCTAAGTGTCCATCGACAGATGAATGGATAAAGAAGATGTGGCACATATATACAATGGAATATTACTCAGCCATAAAAATAACCAAAATTGAGTTATTTGTAGTGAGTTGGATGGAACTAGAGACTGTCATACAGAGTGAAGTAAGTCAGAAAGAGGAAAACAAATACTGCATGCTAACATACTTGAGGACACAGGGAAGGGTAAGGGTAAGCTGGGATGAAGTGAGAGAGTGACATGGACAAACATACACTACCAAATGTGAAATAGATAGTGGGAAGCAACCGTATAGCACAGAGAGATCAGCTCGGTGCTTTGTGACCACCTAGAGGGGTGGGATGGGGGGGTGGGAGGGTGACGCAACAGGGAGGGGATATGGGGATACATGTATACGTATAGCTGATTCACTTTGTTATACAGCAGAAACTAACACACCATTGTAAAGCAGTTATACTCCAATAAACATGTTAAAAAATATATAAAGGGCAGAAGCTTAAATATTTTAAAAGGAAACATAAGAAACATCTTTTAATCCTAGGGTAAAACATTTTTAAACAAGATTTAACAAATCAAGCCATACACAAAGTGAGTAATTCAATTACATTAAAAATAAGTTTTAGTACTCACAGTTTTCATAAAGGAGGTGAAATATCGAGCCACAAACAGTAGAATATATTTTCAGTAGTATTGGGTTGGCCAAAACTTTCATTTGGGCTTTTCTGTAACATCTTACGGAAAAACCCAAACAGACTTTTTGGCCTACCCAGTACATACAACTAACAGAAGTATTAATTAGAATATATAAAGGTTCTTACAAATCAATAAGAAGAGTACATTAATGGACAGATGCCATAAATAGGCATTTCTAGAAAGAAAATGAAATATCTTGAAATGTATGTGTTCTCACATATGGGAACATGGAGGAAAACCAAAAGGAGGTATAATTTATGCAAAGGAGATAAGCCCAAATGGAACATTTTGACACTGCAAACAGGAGCATCTACTCACTCTCTTAACAGTGTGAATATTCCATTTTCAAAGTGCACTGGGAAAAAAAAAACATGATATAATAAATATGAAAGTGGCTACCCAAACGTCCAAATATTCTCTGGGTATGAAACCTAGAGTGACATTTGTATTTGCATATTTGGAGAAGTATTTGAAAACCTTAATAGTATTATTATTTCTAGGAAAAAAAAGAGACAAATAACCCAAATATCTACAACCAGGAGAATGATAAATGCCATTGGCATATATTTAAATGGAATATACTACAATAGTTTAAAATGAGCAACAGACACATGCACTAACAGATAATACAGAAATGTCATCTTCAACAAAATGGATTGTTTTGGAAGATGATACACAATATTATCTCAATTATATTAATATGCAAACTAAAGAGTGTTTTGTTCAGGCATACATACAAATAGTTAATTTATGTATGCTAAAGGCAAGGACAATAAATATAAATTCAGGATATTCAATATAATTGGGTGGGAGAGTGGAGGAGTACTTGAGGACAAACAGAAGAGTATCAGCAATGTTCAGCTTCTTAAGTTGAATAATGGGCACATGTGTGTTCACTTTATTATTTGTTATATTTTACATATAAAAATATCTGATTCAGAAAAAAAATGTAACCTCTAACCTACTTGTCAGATCCACAGAGATTCCATTATTTTGGCAAGGTTTAAAGGAACACTCATTAGTTTCACATAGAGGTCCAGAAAACCCAGGTCTGCAAACACTCCTTTTAAACAAGAAATTTAATAACTCCATTGTAAAATTTTAAAGCTGAAAATTCAAATAACCATAGCACAGCAAATTATTAATAAGCAGAAGTGTTGTTCAATGTGTCCATTGACATTATAAATATGCATACATTTGGATACATCTAGACGCATGAACATGTATATAGGTGTTTTTTGGTTTTCTCTACCTGAAATTGTTGAGCCCAACTTTACAGTCACCACAGTTCTGACAAGGAAGGGGGAAGCACTCATTCATGTTAATTTCACAGTGTTCACCTTTAAATCCTGCAAAGAGAGAGGAGATGGGTAGAGATGAGCAATCCTCACTTTAGAGTGTGAAAATCGGAATCAGTAGTAAAGAGTCTGGAAAATATGCTCATAATGGAAGTTACAAAAAAAAATGGGAGGGAGAAAACACCTCATCTCTGAGTTCTTATACTACTCTATTTCAAGTAATGTCTGAATAAAATTATGCTAGTTTCTAGTTAAAGAGTTCAAATGAAAGAATCAAGGGAGGACTACTTTACTGAATCTCCTGTGGAAATAGAGTTAATGCTACTGTTGTTGTTTTAAGGTCTTTAAGTGTTTGAACAAAAAGAACTGAAACTATCTAGAAAGCAAATGAATTAATGTGATGACCAATCTTAAAGTAAAATTGAGCTTCAATGATCAGATTTATTCAAAGCAGTTAGTAGATGAGGCAAATTTAACTGCTTTTGATTCATAGCTAAATAATCAGTCATCCATTTAAACCCATGCCAGTTATGTTTTAAAAAAGCAAAGAAAAAAAGGAAAGAAAATTATAGACTTATAAAAGAGTCAGTTGTAATTATTTCAACATATTTGTGTCAGAAAAAAATCAAATTTATATCACTATTTAAAATACATTAAATATTTTAATATTTATGATGACCATTTAAACAATTATTTCCATGGTTATAGAATAACTAAGTATAACAACATATATATATGTATTTTGCTGCTAATGTTATTTTTATATTTTTCTTGCTAATATTTTTGAGGATTTTCTTTTCTCTTACTTTTTCAGTGCTATAACTAAGCACCATATAATTGAAGTGACATTATAATGCCAATATCTACTCAGATTTTTTAGTTTGAGGAGCAGAAGGTCATTCAAGTTACCCTAAGAAAACGTTATTAGTGGCATATACATAGACTGGGATTGGAATTGAGAAATATGGGAAAGAGAGGACAGTCTATCTACCCATGAATTGCCATCTTGCTCCCACTGTACCTTCTCATAGAGTTTCTTCCTCATTCTGTCTGCAAATATCTCTTCACATACAAAGTGTCAGATTCTTTTAATATTGTCATTACAATATTGTAATATTGTCATGCAGATAATGTAGCACAGTTTCCCTTGTCTCTATATCATGACCTTTCAGCTTCAGCACTTACTGCTGAGTGGAAAATTCTCTTCACATTTCCTTACTCGGATTCCCATGAAATAAGCTGGGACTGGCCAGCTTTATCTTTTCACATCACACCATGCCACAAACCCCTGCCATTCTCTGTGGTGTCTGCCATCAGGTCAAAAGCCAAACCCACTTCCAGTTAGAGTTTGGGAAGTTGATACTATGCCTTTTGAAATATGGCTGCCTCCTTAGCAGGATATAATATGAAAATTTTAAATGACATAATCCAAAAGGAGGCAAGTATAAAGGAACAAAGTACAGATATGACAAGTAAAAAGCAAATAGCAAGACAATTTATTTAAAGCCATATATAGCAATAATTACATTAAATATGATTTTTAAAAAACATTTCAGCTAAAAGGCAGAAACAATCAGACTAAATAAAATAATAGGACTACGTGATATCTAAAAGAAATCCCCTTTACATATAGAGACAACAATAGGTTAAAAGTAGAAAGATGGAACAAAGATGCCCCATGAAACACTAATAAGAAACCTAGAGCTTCCCTGGTGGCGCAGTGGTTGGGAGTCCGCCTGCCGATGCAGGGGACACGGGTTCGTGCCCCGGTCCATGAAGATCCCATATTCCGTGAAGCGGCTGGGCCCATGAGCCATGGCCGCTGAGCCTGCACGTCTGGAGCCTGTGCGTCCGGAGCCTGTGCTCCACAATGGGAGAGGCCACAACAGTGAAAGGCCCGCATACCACAAAAGAAACCTAGAATATCTACGTGACTAGCAGACCAGGCAGTCTTCTGGAAAAGCACTGGTATTAATTTGTGTTACTTTTTCTTTCTCAATTATCAAATCTTTCAAGTTAAACTCTGAAGTTGCATGCTTGTAATTTTATTCATGCAGTGGATATTGTATCCTCAGCATCCAGAACAAAATTCTGTTATTATAAATTAGTTATTTCCAAGTTAGCATGGATCTCCTAATTTTAGGTGAACAAGTTATTATTGCAACACACTTCAACACAATTCGTCAATCACTCTTACTGTTATATTAAATTATAAATGTCATAGTACAGTTATAAATAAATAATAAGCTATTTCCTTAAATATTTTATGGTAGTTAATTTTTTTTCAAGTTTAAGATTTAGAAGGTTGGATGCATTCCACCATTTCTACTTTTAGCATAACTAGTGTTATCTGGGACACAGGGCATTTTGACCTTAAGTTGCTTTTTAGAAATGTCCTTTAGTGGCACTGGAACTCAGGGGCACTGACCAGCTAGAGGACTGGAGTGTGCCTCCCTGAGTTCAGCTGAGCTGATGGATCAGAACATTCAGCACCGGGGAACTTGGACAGCTCAAAGGATAACCTTGGTTTCTGTGATTTTGCCTCATTCATTTAGTTTGACATTTCTGAGATGGAGTTTTGTTACCACCTAGCAACATATGTCAATGGACTGAGGAAATGAGATTGCTGAAATGCAGTGGACATTGGAAGAAAAAATAAAGTAGATGTGGATCACATTTAAAATAAGCCAAAGCTTTGCAGGGAAAGTGTAAGTTTGGGGGATTTAAAGGAGTGAGATATATATATATATATACTTTGTTCCAAACTAAATTTTCCATAGTCCTTGGTTTTAGAAATTGATACATATTCATGTGAAGGATATTTGTTTTGAATATATGCAGTGACAGCTAAAACTCTGTCAAAACTCAAAATACAATGAATTAATTCTATGCTATTCCTCTCCTATTTATTCCTATCCAGATCTATTCAGCTAACTATTTTATTCACTTCAATAGAGTTCTTCACACACAAATAATGAGAAATTCTCAAACAAATGTTCTCTTGATCTTTTTCTTATACTGTCTTACCTGTGATTGTTGCAGCAAATGCATGTGACTGATTAATAAATCCTATTTTTACATTTAAATTAGTTACTAAAACTACTGCTCAAATCCAGAACTAAATCAATGTAGATTACAGATATAGTATTTTTAATCACTTAATATTTTCTCAGTTCTAAAAAATGTAGCCTTTTAATACTTTATTCTCTGGAGGGGATGGCATAGAACAAAGTACACTAACAATAGTTAGGTTTTCATAAAACTTTTTTAGTAAGCATTTTATCATTCAGGGCTATATTTGACAACTCTCACACTAGAAGTAATATCAGCTGGAGTAATTAGAAATGAAGTAAATAGTGATAATTAGAGTGTATTTTCCATGTATTCAAACAATGTAGTGTAAAAAAATACATTTTAAGACAAAAAAAGTATTAAAATGAATTATTTTAATGACTTCCCTGGTGGTCCAGTGGTAAAGAATCTGCCTTCCAATGCAGGGGAAGCTGTTTGGATCCCTGGTGGGGGAACTAAGATCTCACATGCCTCAGGGCAGCTAAGCCTGCGTGCCACAACTACTGAACTCTTAAACCTCTGCCAGAGAGCCCACATGCCTCCACTACACAGCCCACGTGCTCTGGAGCCTGCGTGCTGCAACTAGAGAAGAGAAAACCCACATGCCACAACTAGAGAGAAGACAGTGTGCCACAACTAAAGATCCCACATATGTCCCACGTGCTGCAACTAAGACCCAACACAGCCAAAAAATAAATAAAATAAATATTAAAATGAATTATTTGCAAAAGTATTAGAAATTTTTATTTCTCTTTAATTACAATTTTAGGGCTTCCCTGGTGGCGCAGTGGTCAAGAGTCCGCCTGCTGATGCAGGGGCTCGTGTTCGTGCCCCGTTCCGGGACGATCCCACACGCTGCGGAGCGGCTGGGCCCGTGGGCCATGGCCGCTGAGCCTGTGCTCCGCAGTAGCAGGGGCCACAACAGTGAGAGGCCCGCGTACCGCAAAAAAAAAAAAATTAATTTCCCTAGATGTTAAAACTTTATGGAAACAAAGAGAGATTTTTCTTGGCAAGTCAGAAAAAAAGTATTGTTTTCTTTATTTTTTAAATGACATAATACAAATATTAATATTTTGTTTAAAAATTAGCCAATATTATAATATAGATGCAGACTTAATTTTAAAAACAATGATATTTGAAAAGATAAAAGTAATATTTTCAATAGACCCTAAGGTTTTTTTTTTTCGGTACGTGGGTCTCTCACTGTTGTGGCCTCTCCTGTTGTGGAGCACAGGCTCCGGACGCGCAGGCTCAGCGGCCATGGCTCACCGGCCCAGCTACTGCGCGGCATGTGGGATCTTCCCGGACTGGAGCACGAACCCATGTCCCGTGCATTAGCAGGCAGACTCTCAACCACTGTGCCACCAGGGAAGCCCAAGACTCTAAGTTTTTTAACATGATTTTAAAGTAAACTTTTAGAAAATGAGTATAAAAGCTAATGTTTTTAAATGTAATAAAAATTTGACATATTTTAAAGTTAATTGGCAATAATATATATTTTCTTTGAAGAATTTTCCGGATATAAATTTCAACAGCTATTTAAACCTAATAGATATGCACTACTACATGAGCACATGTTTTTAATTGTCAAAAGGAGTAATTTTTAATTTAGAGAAACCGTTCATCAAGTGACACATTTATTTGGTGCTCAGAATTATGCACCTCAGGTAATGTGGCTTTAGCATAAAGATAGTATATATACGGGATTAATAGACATGTTTAAATGCAACTGCTCACCTCCTCTCGTAATAGAAATCCATCAAGCTTAGAATCCCAATTGTAAATCAATAACACACATAAATTATCCGACTCTTCCCTTCACTACAAGTGAATCCTTGTATTGTAGCGAAGGAGTCCTTTCCACATTTTAGACCTTCATAAAGTTCATTTAAAGAAACTGTTGCTTCTTTCACCTTGGAGACCTATGGATGAAGTGGCTACATTTGGCAACTAAGCCCTTTAAATTAAATTAGAAATAT